GAGAGTGACCGCCTGTTCGATTTCCTCATGGAGTTGGATGAGGGTTTCTCTACATTAAAAACCCAAATCCTTTCCATGAAGCCAACACCTACCCTTGGTGAAGCTTATCGCCTAGTTGCTGCCAAAGAGCAACACAAAAACATTGCGGCCAGTCGCCGTCCTGTGGTTGACGCGGCTGCCTTCCAAGTGCGACCTGGCCGAGAGCTTCTTGAAGGAAGTCGACAAGAGTAGCAAAGTGAGAAGGGTGATAAGCCCCGCTGCAGTCAATGTCACAAGTCGGGGCACACCAAAGAGAGTTGTTTCCAACTCATCGGGTGGCCTGAAAAGAAATCATGGCAAGGAGAAAAGGGAGCCCGGCGTGGCCACCGTAGGGAGTCTTCGAGGGTAGCGAATGCCACGACAATGGCAAGTATTTCTATCCTGGGGCTTTCGAACGACCTGGTCTAGCAGCTTGTTCAATTTCTCAACCAAGCTAATGGTCCATCTCTTGGAGCTCCCGCTACTGATTCAGCGGCAAATACGGTTAGTAAGCACTCATCAGACTGTGAATGGGTTATTGATTCGGGTTGTACCGAATATATTACACATAACTCGAGTTTGATGGAAAATTCAGAACCAGTCTCGGGTCATTTTCCCGTTAAGATCCCGAACGGGGATAATATTCCGATCACTAGGATTGGTGATGTCAGTTTATCTAATGGCATGAAGCTTAGTCACGTATTAAATATAACTCTATTCAAGTGTAATCTCTTATCGATTAGCAGGTTGACGCGAGATTTTGACGTGGCTTTGATATTCTTGCGTGATTTCTGCGTAATCCAGGACTTACACTCCTGGAAGATGATTGGTAGCGGTAAGCTGCAGAACGGGCTGTACTATCTTCGACTCTTTGGCCTGCAGAAGTTGAAGGCTTTGGCAGCTTCAGTTGGGACTATGAAGATGGATGAGTTTTGGCACGCTCAGTTGGGACACCCGTCGGCAGTCAAGACCCAGTTTTTATTTTCTTCTATTCAGAATAAATGCACGGTTGACGCTTGTGATTCATGTATTCGTGCAAAACAAACTCGGTTGCCTTTTCCTAAGATTTCTATTCAGACTATTCGTTATTTTCTGATGATTCATGCGGATATTAGGGGTGGCTTTCAGACCCCGACCCATAGTGGAACACAGTATTTTCTGACCATTGCTGACGACTTTAGTCGCGCGACATGGGTTAACTTGTGCCGATATAAATCAGAGGCTGCTCGTTATCTTGAGATGTTTATTAACATGGCGCAGACACAATTGCAGCAGCAGGTTGCTCGCATTCAGGCGGACAATGGTATGGAATTTCAGACAGATCATTTGCGATCTCTATATGAAGATCGTGGTATCATTCTGCAGACATCTTGTACGGACACGCCGCAACAAAATAGGGTTGTAGAATGGAAGCACAGACACCTTCTCGAGACGGCTTTTTCTCTCATGTTTCGTGCTGCCCTCCCGTAACAGTTTTGGGGTGAATCAATTTTTACAGCCACTTACTTGATCAATCGCCTCTCGTCCAATGCACTTCAGAATAGAACTCCATATGAAGTTCTTCTTGGGAAATCACCAAGTTATGCTCACCTTCGGGTCACTGGTTGCTTGGCTTACGGTAAGGATACATACAAAGGGCTATCAAAGTTTGCCGAAAGTGGCAGAGGTTGTTGCTGTAATTGTTCAATCCGCTTAAGCTAATGAGAAAAGATTAAGAAGGTTTACTTCTCCGTGGATTAGTCTCGTTCACACGAACGAGGATACCACGTAAATCGCTTGTGTTGTGGTTTGCTTTTACTTTAGATTCACAAATCTTTCATAACAGATGTCACTTCCAGCCAAGTTGTCCATTACATTAAAGGATGAATGAATAATTTCAATTATAAGAAGAAAAAACCCATCGAATAAGGCTTGCGAACTAACTGAACCGTAATTGGGGGTTGGGGGGGGGGGGGGGGGGGGGGGGGATAAAAGAGGTTAATTGGATTCCTATCCCGTATTTAAACTAATTAACTATTATTTATTTTATTTTCCGCCCCTGCATTTATATTTGAAAGGATTGAAGGCTAATTAGGGGTGGAGGGGACAGAAATAGTTAATTGGATACCCGGTGTTTCCCGAGAAAATCAAATACCATCGTCGGTGCCGAATTTGTTTCCAGCGATGTTGATTTGATGTCTCGCGATAGAAACTTTTGCGGTGTCGTTTGATCGGATGCACCACCGACTGTTGAAATCAACGTGACCGTCAAATATCCACCGTCGGGCGTCGGGCGATGTTCATTTGATCGATGCACCTCTGAATGCTGAAATCAACATGACCGTCAAATATCCACCGCCTGGCGATGTTGATCTAATCGATGCACCTTTGACTTCTAACCAAGAACGATCGTTGCTCGGTTCACACCTCTCCAAACAATGTTCGAACGAGGGTGTTTGGGTTTTTAGGAATCTACGTTACCGCTACTCCTATGGAGATTCCTGTGGAGAGCTCCGCGACTACAACTATGGAGATCCTTCCTGGAAGGAGAGCTCCGCGAAAGAGTTACAGAGAATAAGATAAGTTTGACAGATGTGTTTTCTGTGTTGATTTGGTTGTCCTTCTCTCTCCTTGATCTAGTGCTTTTATTCGAAAAACATCTTCATAACTTTCACGCTCCATGAACCCGCTTCCTCAACTGCTCCATCGTGAACTCCCACGTGTCTCAACCGCCTTGATTTTGATTCTGCGTGAATCTCACGTGGAACAAAGCTACAATGACGATGTTGCTTTGGGATAACAGTGACGTTGAACTTAGCGGGCAACCCTTGGCCAAGCTCTTAACCACTGCGATATCATTTTTAATCAAACGATATCGTTTATGATACCGAGGTGTCGTTGATACCTCCCGCGGCGTCGTTTTTATCTAAACAACACAGTTTAAAATAATTATTAAAAAGATTAGTTAATTAAACCGGCTCATTATTGTCACGCGGTCAAATTCTCATCCCTCGACGCCGTTTAATCTTTCCGCGGCATCGCTTTTCACTAATTGATGCCGACCTTGAATTGCTTTGTCACGGTCCCATCAAACAATGTCGTTTTTCATTCCGCGGCATTGTTCTCTACCAAACGGTGACGTTTTCTCGTCTTGCGGTGTCGTTGTCCTTGGCGCGCCGCCCTCACAAAAATCCTACCGTTGTGCTTTATTTTTTTAATTAAACGGTGTCTCTTAGTAATACCGCGGCACTGTTGAGGCCTTTAGTGGTGTCGTTTTTAGCTAAACAGCACGCTTGATTCTACCCACAACATCGTTTTAATATTAAACGACTCCGCTTCCAGCCTTGCGGTGTCGTTTTCTTCCCCAATCAGCTCCGTTTGTTTTTTTCCCTCCAGGACACTGTTTATTTTCAACACTGTCATTTGCTAGTACCGCGGCACCGTTGGGCCTACTCGCGGTACCGTTTTTTCTCCTTCCGACACGGAATAAAACTAATAATTAATAAAAAAGGGTTATAGGTAAAATATGCCCCTCTAATATGACGATTTATCAAACATGCCCCCTCAACTATTTTTTACATCAAACATGCCTCTGTACTTTGAAAAAATTGTTAAACATGCCCTTCTGTTAAAATTTCCATCCAAAATCCGTTAGCAAAGTCCGAACTTTGGTTTGGGTGACACAAATCTCTAATATATCCCTAATAATTTCACTTTGAAGAGACCTAACTAAATAAAACGAGAGACAAAACTGACATTTTCGCTCCCATTTGCAGATGTCGTGTCGTCTAAATCTCGGTTCAACAATGATTGATGATTTTTTCAATGGAATGTTTAACAGAAGGGCATGTTTGATAATTTTTTCAAAGTACAGGGGCATGTTTGATGTAAAAAATAGTAGAGGGGCATATTTAATAAAACTTCATAATAGAGGGGCATATTATACCTATAACCCTAAAAAAATCATTTTCCAAAACCACTACTAAACGTGGCCCACCTCTTATTTTTCCGGTAAACAGTGTCGTTTCCAGTGCCGCGGTACCGCTGAGCTTCCTTGCGGTACCGTTTTTCTGTTCCGCAGTATCGTTTTAACTCTCCATGATACCCCTGTTAGAGTATGTGTAGTACGAGTAGTATTATGTTATACTACGAGTACTGTTATGTAATTGGTCAGGGTTATATTCCTTATCAGAATCATATTAGTATTAGGGTTATTATAGAAGTCAGTCTCGTAGTATAATAACCCTAATACTAATATGATTCTGATAAGGAATATAACCCTGACCAATTACATAACAGTACTCGTAGTATAACATAATACTACTCATACTACACACTCTAACAACCCCGCTCGACTCCAAACGATACCGTTTTTTACCCGCGGTATCGAATTAAATGCCGAGACTAATTAATGCGGCATTTCAAATTAATTTTAGGTGTCAACACTCGGAATGTGCATATTCGTTGTCCTATCCAATTATCATAAAATATTACCTGAAATCTCAGACCACATCAGAAATACAACAATCCACACTTAGACTTAGTTAGGGACATAAGGATAATGAAATAAGGTCACCTAAACTAAGGACATTGGTTATTTTCAACAAACATATGTTGTGCTGAGCCTAAGTTGGACCTCGTCCATCTTGCTAATGTTGCGTGGCGGGAAAACGAGTAGAATAATATTTATACATTTAGGTTCTGACTTCTCATAATCTCAACGTAAGTATACAATTACCCACCAACAAAAACCAGTGGCGGTCAACTAAAAACGAAACCCCCGCGGCCCAGACAGCCGCAATAATGAATTATTAGTTTAGTGGCCATTAAATAGCTAGGCCTATAAAACACAAAGGAACACCGCAACTGGAAAGTACGTACTTAATCATCGTCATTAGCATTAACTGAAATCCGATCCCAACCAAAAACACCCATCCAAGGCCGAGCCAGCAACGCAATCTCGGACCAAAAAGACGATACAGAGCACCAAAAGCATCACCATTATGGCCACTCACTTCCTTGTCTCCATTATCCAGCTCGTAATTCTCTCATCAGCCTTCATAATGATCCCCACACCGACTTCAGCCAAATTGGAGAAGCTAACGCACCTCCACTTCTACTACCACAACAACATCGCCGGCCCGCGTGCCACCGCCGTCCCAATCAACCCCAAAATCCAACCCGTTGATCTTCGAGACCCCGCCAGCCTGTTCGGCCGGCTGACCATAGCCGACGACCCGCTGACTTCCGGGCCAAGCCTGGAGAACTCGACGGTGGTGGGAAGCGCGCAAGGGATGTACGGCAGCGCATCGCAGACTGAGATGGCATTTGCTATGGTGTTCAACTTCGCGCTCACTCAGGGGAAGTACAAAGGGAGCAGCTTCTGTTTGCTAGGTAGGAACCCAATTTTCACAAACCCTAGGGAGCTAGCCATCATTGGTGGCACCGGCGCTTTCCGTTTCTCTCGCGGATACGCTATGCTCAAGACGTTCTACATGGATATGCAAACCGGCGCCAATACCATCGTGGAGTACGACGTTTATATCCGCCACTATTAACGTTATATCTAGCTTGGAACGCTACCTTTTCATTCTCAGCGCGCAAATGCGCTGCCATATGCAATTGAAAGAACTCGTAACATATACTAAACCGTCTTACCTACGCAAATGGGTCAACTAATTAGACTTTCTGCGTCCTATTTTCATCGTGGCAACTAGGTCATGCTCATTGCTTTGTTAGTGGTGGAACATTCTAAATTCATTCTTTTACTTAATTAGCTTGTAAATCCTCTCTTTGTATGTATATCACGTAACAGACATTTCCTATATATGTAAGCCACTCGGTAACATCATGTTCGACTCTCTTTGAAATGGTTGACCCGAGTTTATAACAAATTCATAACCGACCCTACCAGACAATTAACAAAGTGTATAAAACTCACACCCGCCTGAGAAATTTACAAACACTAAAGTGGATAAAACTCGCTCACGACCCAAAGAGGAAATGGAAAAATAAGAAATTATTATATCGACAAATCTCGGTCTCGACACAAAAACTCGTCAACACAGTGTTCTGCTCGCTTTGACTGGGTCGAATCGAGTTTTTAACGAATTCACACTCGATCCAACATGCCAATTACAAAAGCAGATAAAACTCGCACTCGATACAAAACTCCTTAATACCATGGGTTTGGGTTCAGTTGACATTTCTCAACAAAAAAGATAAATAGAAATTTAAAATTGGTAAAGTCGGGTTCAAGTCACTTTGACATGGTTGAATTAGGTTCTATACCCATGAGTTTGAGTTTAATTGTCATGCTTGACCTGGCAAACAGTGGAAGAGAACAACTTATGATTTCGTCGATAGTGTTTCGAGATGGGTTGCGAATTGGTAGGCCAATACGATGATTTAGGCGAAAGATCATAGACGAAAACCTAATAGATAATTGTTGCAATAGGGAACACAATGAACAATAGATGAAACCTAATTAATGGGCAATAGATGTAGATACAATTGATAATAAATGAACACAAAGGTTATAGAATGGAGAGCGGGATAGAAAATGGAACTTGAAACTTGCCCACTTGCAAGGAGGAGTGTGAGAGCCACTAATGAATAGCAACATCAAACTTTGGCTTTTATATATTAAAATTTAATAATGAAAATATTTTGAGATATGGTATGGATCTTCGGTAACGGTCGTGGCAAACGGTGGAAGAGAACAACTTATGATTTCGTCGATAGTGTTTCTAGATGGGTTGCGAATTGGTGGGCCAAGGGAATGCTTTGGGCGAAATATCATAGATGAAAAAATAATAGATAATTGTTGCAATAGGGAATGCAATGAACAATAGATGAAACCTAATAGACAATATATGTAGATCCAATGGACATTAAATGAACGTAATGGGCACTTTATTAATTTGTTTGTTTTTAGAAATTCGTTAATCCAACCCATCAATTCGTTGATCAATTGTGGAAGTAGAGAAGGAAGACATACATTGAGAAGTCTGTCACGAATCAGTTGCTCCCAATAACTCGAGTTGTTGGGAGAGGTTCAATCATGGATCATATACCACAACACTAACATGCCCCCTCAAACGAAAGACACTCACAAGGGAATCGAACACAAGACCTCTCGGTCACAGAAGGCTCTGATACCATGTCACGAACCAGTTGCTCCCAATAACTCGAGTTTTTGGGAGAGGTTCAATCATGGATCATATACCACAATACTAACAAAGTCAACACCATGTCTTGTCTCTCCTCTACTTGGAATTTTTGTGTAAAGTATTGTTTCTTAGAATTAATACAACTTTGTGTTGACAACAATACTAAATTAGTTGTTGATATTCTATTCGTTTCCCCGGAGCCAAGATTGGGAATGGCGGTTCATGTTTACCTTCTATGACATAGTCAAAGTAAATCTCTCATGAATTCTCATGCTTTCAAACTACACGTTTCATGACAATAGAATGCTTTCCCCACTCTTCTGTGATCACCGCCTATATATCTCCCATTCCTCGTTTTGATAATGGCGATGAACTTTCATTAAAACGAAAGAGGCAACGCACAAAAAAACGAAAGACGCTTTTTCAACATTTTCCGTGCTCTCCCCTACGTCCATGTGTTGCCTGCCGAACATCATCTTCCCGGCGTCCCTGTTATTCTTTTCGAGCTTTATTTATCTTTTTCCGAAGAAAGAGATTGGTGGAGGGGCATGGTAAAGAAAGATATTGGTGGATAGGCTATGAACTTGAAGTAAATGGAACTCACGAATTATGGTTCGATCTAATCAACGAAAGGGAAAATAGTGAAAGGATAATGTGTACAACAATATCATAAATAGAAAAGATTTTATCAAAAAATTTTGATAAAATGTATGAGTAAGGATAGTAGTCATTGTAAAAGATAATGATTTGCAAGATGAGAACAATGTTGTATATCCTTAATAATACCGCACCAAATGTGGATAATCATGCAATAAATTGTTATCAATTGCTCTTCATATATTAATAATGTATTGCTTGCCGAACATGATCTTCCCGGCGTACCTATGTCCCTATCGTGTAAAGTGATTGTATACTTGATAGTACAAATATATATACTAATCATCATTTCCATTTCCAACATTATCTAAGAAACACCAAATTCCTCTAGACCCCAAACCTCCGTATCTCCCACCCGTTGACCCTTCTTCAAATGGGTTGTCGTGTAACAAGTGCGTATATAATAATGTCCGCTGGAATGTGATATGTGTATTTTATCATAAACTTGTTACCACTTTATACCAGGGTAGTATAAGATTATATATTCTACTTGGTTTAGGATATTTTAGGCTGGGGTTTTCCCCTATAAATAGAGGCGTGATAGATTAGCTTAGTAAGGAAGCACAGACACACAAATTCTCTGCAAAACTCTTCACAAGTGGGTAGCCTATTAGAGTAGAAGTGTCTGCAGCTAAGAAGATGTTGTCATCATCAATGGTGGTACCTTCCTTTTTCTCTATGTAGCTAGTCGAAAGTGATTATATTGGGATGTGATATTGTTTATTGTTATGTGAATGAATGTTATATTTCATCTCATGCTTGTGTTTATCTTTGAGATTTTCAATGTCTATTGCTTATGCATGGATGCTTTTAGTTTTGATGATTATGTGGTCATTAGTTTTTCTACAGTATGGATGTTTTTTTATGGTACTTAGTATTAGCTAGTATTAGCTAGATTGTCAATGATTTACCATCTAGGGATACCCCATTAAGGCTACACGAGTATAGATAGAATGATCAACAATTGATGCTTTGAGTAGGAGGATTATCGAGTTCAACACCTTGAAAACGAAGTAAGGAGCATCTAACTTAGGAGAAGAAGAGCCCTCAAGCCCCACCAATTTCGAGCAACCCTTGGAAGAGGAAGACAAGTGCTCCTTTTAGCAACTCTTTACGAGCACTCAAGGAAAAGAGCATCCAACTTCACCTCATACATTGTTGCACCCCCAATGACATAAAGATCACAACTCAGCTCATCAAGATAGCGCAACAAGCATGGAAGTTTTGAGGCAGTAATGATGATGATCCGGTGCAACACTTGAAGACATTCTTAGAGATCCTCAATTACATACCAGGCGATGATGCTACCAAAGATGGGATTCGACTACGACTTCTCCATTCTCACTTGGAGGAGGATCAAATTAGTGACTCTGTTACCATCCATCTACAACCTTCATCCCGTGGGAGACCCTTTCACACCCATTCATTGTGGCGTACTTTCCAACATGGAAGATAGAAGAGATTAAAGATAAATTACTCAATTTCAAAACAAAGGACGGAAAGGTTTTCTATGATGCTTAGAGGAAATTCCATGAGTATATCATAGCATGCCCCTATCATGGATTCACCCTAGAGCAAATTGCTAAGTAATTTGCTAAATGCCATGACCGGGATTTGGGACACCACCACGATGATGGTAAACCATTCGCGTGATGGAGATTTCCCAACAATGTCAGGAGTACAACCTAGGAGCATTTCGCCGCAATAGCAAGGAATTCAAACAAACGGTTTAAAGCTCCATCAATGACTAAACCAATGAAATCTTCCAAAGGAAGCGATGGTGAAGGAGCCGGACCCCAAAAAGGCACGCTTAATCTTATGCTTAGGCACGCCTAGGCGCAAGGCAATGGCAAAACGCCTTGCCTAGGGGTTTCACGCCTAATTAGATACTGGAACACGTCATGGAGTAAGGCGACATATAAGTCTCTCCTGAACATTACTAGATGGAGCTAGTAAGTCAATATTAAAGGCCAAAATTAACATCAACTACGAAATCAATTTTCTATTGCAATATTTTCAATAACTCAAGAAATTTGTGAGCTATTGAGCTATGATTCTATGAATTCGTGAGCTATGTTCTTGTCATTAAGTGTTGAGTAAGTTATTAATCATTTTAACTGAAGTGAGGAAGTGTTGTAGATAATTATTTCACTCATCATGCAGTGCGAATAGCTATTTTTCTTCCAACGCCTAGGCACGCTTAGTCTACGCCTAGGCGAGCTAGGCGCAAGGCAAAGGCTCAACGCCCACCTTACGCCTAGCGCCTTTTTGAACCTTGATGATGAGGTGTTAGGGGGAAACGAAATCTGAGATGCCTTAGCCTCAATAGAACTCAAGCACGAGGGAAGAGAAAAGGAGCTAGTTTGGAATTTCACAGGTAGTAGATTATTATGAAACATCTGTAACAAACCAGCAGAGTTCGAGTGCCCCAAACGCCAATGCCATAAATCTCAAACAGAATCCCATTCATCCGAATGATTACAAACTGAAAAACTAGAAATCAAATAATGAGGAGGAGCAGAAAAATCCCCTTCAGCAACATCATGCAAACGACAATCGTACCCCTCGATCACTTACTGGCGGCGAGCATGGAGAGACTCCATCTCATAAACGCGACCCTGTTTACTTCCCAGGCCGAGTTCCCTCCCCTACATATGATCCTGCACCGGATAGTCGGTATTATTAAACCGAACCTTACAACCCTCCTCCACAAGCTATCCCACAGCCAC